TTGATGGACCACTGGTAGTTCACCAAGAGGAGCTGGCAAAAAACCCTGATTCCAAACCAACCAAGAGGAGGTGCACGAACCACACACACCTTCCTGGTTGTGGCAGAGGTCACTGGCTCGATTGGACATCGATGTGTATTGGGCACCTTGGACGTTTGACCCCCTCCAAAGGGGATATGATCCGATGAACTGGACATCGACGTCCAATAGATTGCGGTTTTCTCACACCACCCCGCTGCCTTGCATGTCACGCTTTGGCTAGGCAAAGGCTCCGGTTTTGGATTCCTCAAGAAAATTCACCTGCCTTGGCCTGGGCAACCTAGCAGAATTCAGTCCAAGCCAATCATGGAACGTTTTTCTTTTTTTACAAAGATTAGTGTATCACAACTTGTTTGACACCAGTCTGGCCTCAGACTAGTGTGAAATAAAATAATAATAAATAATACTGGAATAAGGTAAATTATGGGTTAATCTAGAACACGGCAACTATGAGTGAACCCCAAGAAGTGTGATTTTAGTATTTTTTTCTCCTTTTTTCGGAAATGGTAAATGGGAAAAACTTGTAAATGGAATTACTCAACTCGTCCATGCATTTCTGCCCGGGGGGAATTATTACGGCTTATTCCCAGTAGGTCCACAGAGGTCATCACCTATTCGCCTGGCGTGTCTGGTATGAGCATGTCCGTTTTTATCAGGAATTCCATCGGACTTCAGATTTTCAAACAGCGAAATTCAAACCATCAATTTCTCAGTTTCACTGCTTCACGCATGAACAGTAGTTAAAACATCACGGGTCATCAGCGTGGAATTTTGCGTAGCTTGAACCGAATTCTGCTGCGCAAGCACATATGCGCACAACCTCCCTCCGATCCGTACACGTGTGTGCATTTATGCCTAGACTGTGATACAGATAGCTGTGAAATGCTCTAAGGGAAGCTTAGTGAATGATGTGGGCATAGACAATCCATACCGGACGGGAGTGGCCGATACAGAACGACGCACACTGGTTACCTTAACACCAGGACCAGAATCCATAGCAGATCATTTGTAATCGAGTCCTGTCAGCAGTGCACATGGACATGAACGGGCCTGGCAGCTGCATAACAAAATTAAATCATGTGATCGTAGGACGCTGCTCATGCTCGAGTAACACCACTCAGCATAAGAGAGACAGGTAACGAACGATAGTGAAATTATGCCATATTAAGACGGATTTACCAAAACTATTACTATATACATATCCACAAGGTAGTGCCGGGACGAGGAGAGTTGTTTATTAAGACCAACGGTAAGGATACAGATAAATGGGTGTACATACAACAAAACGTCTCATTTGGAACAGATCATCACAGTTCCCACAAGCAGGCAGGATAATTAGGAGAACCATCCGACACTAAATGCGCATGTTCTGTCGGTAGAAAAGCAAATCCTTCACCCCACTCACGAATTCCGTGGGAATCCAATAGCCACTTCTTGGTGCGTACAAACTACTCATAAGTGTGAGTAGTACCTCAAAACATTCTGAGGCTGAAATATAAAACGTTTGTCCATTTCCACCTGTTTTTCTTCATCGTGCTACAAGGCTCGTACAACTAGGTTGATAACGGGGTGTGCAAGCGAATCGTTCAGGCTTTCGAAGAGGGATAAGATTGGCGTGTGGTCGCGAAACACAAAGATGTGAAGTATAACACCGCTTACAACTAGATTCATGCCAAGGAACCGCAATATGAACGTCAACCGGAAGGCGGAGGAAGAAAAAAGCCTTGAATGCCATGGAGATCGACAAGGTGATTACCTGGTTGGAAGAAGACCCCACAATCATATTGGAATCGTTGAGGATCCGACTTAAAGCGAAGGTTGGGAAGGAGATTTCATTTTGGTAAGTATTTAGATTGCCAGCTGATTGCTATCAAGAAGCCTCATCTCATTCAATCTGGAATGAATAAGCTTGAGACGAAGGTGATCACCCAAAAATATGCTCTTTATAAGTTTGAAGTAGACCAAGAAGGAGATTGTATCTGTTGGATTGGTGAAACATCAACTTCAATCTGTTTTTTCACCAAGACAATCGGGAGGTCTACCAAAGGCACATGTTCATGCTTGCTGGTATACAACAGCCGCAGCAGAAACCTGCATCTAATACATGCCCTGACTGCATTGGGAATGGTATCGCGCAAGACCAAACGTGGAGCATTTCTGTGGGAAGGCTGCAAGCGGTGGATGCGATCAGTGCTTGATCAGCTCCGGTAAACCGTACCCATTAAGCGGATTACTGTCGTGTGTGACAATGCTCCTTGTCAACAACAACAGAGTGGAGGAGGTATTCATTGAGATTGA